GTGGAATGGTGGGAAATGACCTTCATGACCTTTCTGTTTCTCTTTTGTCTCATGCTTGTTGGAGGCTCCTGAGTGTCTTTACATTGTATCTATAATAATTGGCCATTTATCAGAAACACCTACCACATTGTTTCACTTGGTTTTAAAAACTGTTTTTTTGTTAAAATATAATTTATTTCAGGTCACACTGCCATGCAAACATTATTTTGAACACTATCAAAACAGATTAAACAAATTGTACAATCCTCTCAAGTGACGCTTATGTACCCTCTTGTCATGGTCATAGCGGAGGACACTACAAGGCAAGGCAAATATATTTATATAGCACCTTTCATACACTGCAGTCACAGGAATGGATCTTACTATATAATCTTTTTGGCCCAGCTTTTAGACTCAACTTTTAAGTTAAACATATTCATATTACTTTTATTTTTATTTTTTTAATTATTTTTTGTGTCACATGAAAGAACAAAAATGAAACCTTTAGAATGGGTACATGACAATTATTGTTTATTAAGAAATAAGAGATAAAATGTTTACCTTAATAGATGATATGTGTATCTTGAATCTTTTTCTTTCTAGTTTAATGGGATCTTAACTAATTGAAGGGTTTCATACTTATGCCTGTTTAGTTATAAGCTTTGTGTCACAGCAGATGACATTTTATTGGACAAAATTTAATAGCGTCTAATTGACAGTAGTGTCTAATGTCTAATAGTGCCCTCAATTATATTGTCACTGTTAGGATAAATCATTTAATCTCCAAAACTCTACAAGAGGAGGAAAAATGTTCTTAAATTTAAATGGAAGCCAACTTACAAAGATTTTATTCCAAGTAATTTTAGACAATTTTTACTGGTCCATTCATCATGAAATGCAGACTTTGGGCCAATTGCTGAAACATATTTTACAAATTAAAGTCTTGGGGGAAAACATCCGTTCCATATGATACAATTTAAATTTTCAAAGAACATTCTGTTTTCATTTTATTTAGTTTGGACCATTGTGGGCATCATATAAATCACATGTTTATTAGTAGGTCTTAGAAGATCAAATCGCATTTTGGAACTATATTTTAAGCAATTACAGCCACATAAGAAACTAGATTGATCAGCATTTTGATGAATTTGGTATACAATTTGCCAAATGCTCATTCATAAATTATTGGCTTTCACTGCTTGCTTGTAATATTAGCCTTGAACCAGAAATACTTTTTTCCAATTATATTTGGCCAATTATCAAAGTCACAAAGACACAGTAAAACTTAAGGTGTTAATCTTAACATTGTTAATTAAGATTATCTCCACTGATACAAAAGCTGATGCAATGTACTAACTCACTTATAAATAGAAGTTTAATCATATGCAATCTTTTAATATCTGCTGTCTCATGCCTGTGCATGTAGTCTCATGCCTGCACATTTGTGGGTGTGTGTGAGAGTCGAAAACTTTGTTGGGTGAGGCTTAAAGATGGTGCCCCAGATATCATATTTTCTTGTCTTGTACACACCTTACATTTAGCCTAACCTTTACTATCTAGCCCATAGTAATAACTATGTAATCTTTTCACTCATGTTGTATATTCTGCATCTGTAGACCTGAATTGAGAGTTGATTGAGTACCACCGTGTAAGTCTTCATACAGACTGCCTTGCATATCCTTGCAAAATGATACCTGAGTCAAATGTCTCATCACCTTGAAATGGATCTGTTTATAATATACTGCTTTGGTATATTTATCACACTAAGCTGAAGCCATAATTAATAATCTTCACTAAACCATTCCTTTAATTATTCAGAGTTGTTTTTTAAAATGTATAAAAACACACTCACCTGTAGCAGCTGCCATATCTTCTCGCCAACCTCAAAGTCCTACCACAAAAAATTATGGTTTAATAAAGATATCAGAAAGGTACTAAACACCACACACTTGATTTTGGGCAGAATATGATGTTCTGATGTTTCAATGTTCTTATGTTTTAATGTTAATCTTACTTGTATGTTGCAAATACGCTGTGGAGCAGCGAAAAGTAAGAAAGCGAAAGCAAGAAAGTTTCCAAATAAGGAAGTATAAGCTGTGCCCAGACAGGTATTCTTAATACTACTTGAACTGAGTAGGCACTCATGCCAGAGTCTGAGCGCATGTGCCAGAGTTTACAGTCCCCTGCACAATTATTGGCACCCCTGGTGAAGATGAGTAGAAAGTTATAAGAAATTCATCTTTTGGTGAATTAGTTTGATTTCAGACTGAAAAAAGAGTCCAACATTTTATTGAAATAAATTTCTTCTGAGATTGGAAAAAAATGTTTAGCAAGAAATAATTATTTTTTTGCCCAGCGCTAGTTGATCAAAAGCATTGTCTGATAAATAAAATTGCTAAAGCAGAACTTAATTTTACTTTGGATAGGCTTTCTCTCTCTCTCTCTCTCTCTCTCTCTCTCTCTCTCTCTCTCTCTCTCTCTCTCTCTCATTAGGTATGTGAAGTTTTGTTTGATTTTTGGTTGGGGGTTCAAACATACGTTTCATGGCTTGGGTTGGACTCAGATTTAAATCTTTAATACTCTCAGTGGGTTGGGTCAGATCAGTCTCAAGCAGAGTGTTGGGGGTTTAGACCAAAAATTCAGGCCTGAACAAACCTCTACTCCACACTGCTCTGTTAAAACACAGCAGATAATTTGATTCTGTCTTTCAGGTACTGGAAAGGTGGACCAAACCCAATGGACCAAACCAACATCATGAATGGCAAGGGTTCTGAAGCTATATTGAACTGGGCTGATCATTACTTTATTTGAATCCATGAAAAAATCAGTGAGAATATTTCGCTGAATTGCACATGAACAAGCAACAGCAATTCAAAGGAGAGGCAGAGGATAGGACTGAATGATACAGTCGATATAGTCGTGTGAAAAAGTAAGTACACCCCATGAAATGTTTCTGTTTTTGTTTGACATGTGGGCATATCAATATTTGATAATCAGCTAAACAGTATGTACAGATAAATGTTCTGTAATAGAACAAAAACAAAGGAGATTTGACTTTGCAATCATTTATTTAAGAACAAATTAATTGAGATGTCTTTTTTCTGTTGAAAAAGTAACTACACCCCTGGCTTCACTGATCAGTATTCATAGTTGATTCTATGATTGCAAGATGGCCAGGCTCTGAGGTAGCAAAGCAGCTCCAAACCATAACATTTCCACTATCATGCTCTATAGTTTGTATGAGGTTCTTCTGATCAAATGTAGTCTGTGGTTTTTGCCAAGCTTGTCTTCTGGTACTGTGGCCAAATAACTCTCTTTGACTTGCCAATCCATAACTCATTGTTTCAGAAGCGTTGGTCCTTGCCTAGATATTGATGAACAAACTTTTAGTCTTGAACTGATGTTCCTCCTGGAACACCTCCCATATAGGTCAAACCTGTACAGTCCTGTTCTAATGACAGATGCATACTCTTTGACATCCGCAGTGGCAAGAGCTACTTGCAGATCTTGTGATGGAGTTTTAGGGTTCTTAAAGAGTTCTTTTAGCATCTTACTGTCTGATCTCAGGTTAAATTTGCTAGCGCCGGCCTTGAGTGGTATGTTGGTTTTAAATCTTCTCCACTTGTAGATGATCTACCAGACAAGGCCTTAGAGAGCTCTTTTGATCTAGGTATGATAATACCACACTTTAAAATAACAAACAGCAAACCAGACCAGACATCAGAGGTTTGAATAAGACAGGTTCCTCCCAGATATTTTCTAATAGTGTCCTAATCATTAGCAATTGATCGAGTGCACCTGACTTCAGTTTGACAATTTCGAGTAAGTGATATATATGGGTGTACTTACTTTTTCACATAAAGAAATTGGATTTCTGTTTATGTCAGTTATCTAAAGTATGACCAAATGTTAATTTTAGGTGTCACTTGTTAAGTTTTATTACCTTTATTTATCAACATTGTTCAACATGACCGAATATCTGTATGTCTAAATATGCTGGAAAAGTATTCATTTTTCATGAGGTGTACTTACTTCTACACATGACTGTGAGTAATAATAGTGTAGATAGTAGGGTTGCAACAATTAGTTATCATAATTGACCTCATATATTACTCAAAAAATGATCAATGTGGTTGAATTAAAAAAGTGTCCCATAATATTAATAGTTTCGTTAATTCCAACAAATTCTTATATATATTCTATACTCCTGATTGGAGATGAAATGACTTCTGTTGTGCCAGTTCTTCCTATACACAGACTACACAAGTTCCATAGAGCCCCCATCTGGCCAGAATGATATCATATACTTCATAACTTTTTTTTTAGATAAGCACATTATACCTTTCTAAAGAGACATGACAGAATGCCTTTGAAGCGCTATTACCTGTCAGGAGCTAGGTAGCTACATCTTGTAATACTCAAATAAGCGATCATTATGGTCTCTTGTTCAACCAGTGAGCAAGTAATCAAAAATGTTTGAAAGCTTTCTGTCACTTGTTTGCTGCTGCTGCTGGAGTTCAAAGGAGAACTATATCAGTTAACTTTCCCCATCAGGTGAATCTGAAATGGCTTCTAACTCCTTTTGTAGTGCATTAAGTAAGTAATGAAATTATGAACTTTACACCCCAAACAATGCAAAATATGCAAAATGTAAAGCCATTTGTGTTTCAGCCAAAAGGCACTCAGATTCCTATTCTTATCACTAGTTTGCTAACGAGACGTAACAAGTGGTCCAGATTGTCTTTGTCCCAAAAGCGTTTTGAATGGACTAACCTCTTGAACATTAATTTTGAGATTTGCCGTGAGCTTTCTTATGGTGAAATCATTGACGATTTTTGCCTCAAGAAAATGTATAAAAGCTAAAGCTAAAGCTAAAAGTGGATTATTGCAAAGGGAATTTATGACAGGGAGAAGGGTGAGGCAGGGGGTCAGGGCGAGTCTAGTTTAGCTAAAGCCACTGGTAAGGCTAGGACGGCACTGGTTGCATTATAAGGTGGAATTGTTTGTGGCATAAACAGGACTTTAAATGAAGGCTGCAGTAAAGAGAGATGAGCTCAAAAAAGGTAGCCCATAAAAGTCACAACATGCCTGTTATGCAAAGCAGCATTTCACAGCAGCATCACGCACAAGGCAACAAAAAGGATCCTCCAATAAAAGCCTTGTTAAAAAGCTGATAGGGCCAAATGAGTTTGTTATCAATGTTATAGTTCAGTGCCAACTCCAGAAATGCTGTATAAGAGAAGCAGACCATACACTTGTAGCCATTGCAGAGCAAGTAAAAAATCCACATAATAATTAGTTGCAGCCTTAAACAAGGTCATGTTGAAGGTGATCCATAAATACATATTTATTTTTTTCTGGGCAGAATTCCTTTCCTGTAGTAACAGAAATAAAAGTTTTATTGTGACTACAGTGTGTCTGACTGTGTGTGTCACTACTGAATGTAATAACAATCAGCAATTTGCTATAATTTTATCTTTGGCAAACTTTATTTACAAACACACAGAAACTTCAATCATGAAATATGAACTGAACTGCAAACATACAGTAATACTTCCAAAACTACTCTTTTACCTTATAGGCAGATTCTTAAAAGTACAGTTACCAGGTCATTTTTTCTTCATAAAACATAAACTTCATGAAATAAATATCAATGCACACCTATAAAACCTCTATTAACATGAAGTCAAGTTGACTTTGGTCTTTTTGTTGAAGGTTCTCCATGTTCAGAAGCAGCAGAGGGTTCTCCAGCAACTGCAACAAAAAGAAATAAAAGATTGTCCAAAGTCTTAGAAAGCAGTGATTCAGTGAAAGAATAAATGCACAGCAGTTTTGCCTGTTGGTCTAACCCACACTAGTTTCAGTGGGGAATAAATTAGCTGAAGTTCAAAAGCTCTAAGTTGAAGGTCAAAATCAAGGACACAGTTTTAAAGCCCACAGTGTCTGCACAGTTTTTACTGCAATGTGGTCTATTTTGTTGTTTTGCTTGACAGTTCAGAAACAAGTTACAACAGGCTGCAGCACTGATATAAAAAATCTATGATCTAAACTGAAACCTGAAGCCTTGGGAGAAATGTTAAACACAAAGCTCTATCATAAACAACCCTATACCTTAACTTGGAATGTAGTTCTTTTTATGTGTTCTCCAGGTGGCTAGTAACTAATTTACTCAATTTTGTGTACTTCAGTAAAATTTTTATGGATTTGTATTTTCCTGCATATTTTCAAATTATGATTGTTTTACTGCTGAGTATATTTGTAATTTTTTCTAAGGAAATGACTCTACTCAGCTACATTTTAGTCATTAACAATTACCTCATTTTTTGTGTTTAATTCAGTTGTTCCATTGTTCCACACAGTATCTACACTGCTTTATTTTATACCAAGATTATATCAAAAAGAGCAGAACAAAACCTAAAAGCTTCAGTTCCTATGCTGATAGATGCTGAATGTACTAAGTTCCACTGCAGTTCTGTGGGAAACTCAGTACTTAAGTATTTTTTTACTTCAAACTGTTATTTTTCTACTCAAGTTGTTTTTTGCAAATGTACTTTTACTTGAGTCATTATGTCACCAAAATAACAATATTATGGGTTTAGGCAAGTCTACACAGCTCATATGAAAGTACTAGATTTCTTAATCAAACATAATTAAATAATAATTAAAAACAATTAAAAACATTTGCAATAATGTTTTAAATTATAAGATATTAAACTTTGTAAAGATATTAAACTTAAATGCTATATTAAGCATCAGCAAAGCTTCGATGAAAAAAACAGGACAGAAACACTGCTCAGACAACACTGCTCAAAAACATTTGCTCATTATCAGAGAACTGTTTGGCCGTGGCCTAATATTCTATCCAGCACACTTGATTTGACTTGTCTCTGTCCAAGACTTCTAACCTATTGTCCCAGTTAAGTAGAAATAATAGTGTGAGTGAGGAGAAACGAGTGAAATGGGCTCTACATGTGCAGATTGTGGTAAAGACCTGGGGTTCCCAATGTGTAGCCCACAATGGTTTTCACAGTTTGGAGGTCTGGTGATGTGCTGATGATGCCATGACATACACATACAGACCCACCAACCAATCATGCTCTACTAAATCACCTATTTTGTAGATGATTCTATGGTGGTAGCCATAGATGTAGATGATTCTATGGTGGATGCCTAATTTTGTATTGGCCTCATTTTATAAATGTGCATGGATAAATCAGCAGATATTTCCCAAATTGATAGATATAAGATAATTTGCTGTAAATGTGACTCTCCTGGTGATTCTCTCCTGGATGTGAGGCTCCTTTCGACAGATCTACTGCAGATCTTTCTTGCGTTCTTCTTAGATGTTTTTTTGTGCCACATGGATGCAGTGTCATATTTTTGATTCAGTTATGCTTTTTTTAATCTTGTTTTTTTTCCACTCTTGTCTTTGATGTTTTTATGTGTTTACAGCCTCAATATAATGGTTGTCAGTGCTGTCAGTGTATTCATTTTTTTACTTCTTTACTTACGTTAGCACTCATAAGGCCGAACAGAGGCATGTTGTGAAGATATGTTTAAAATTCCATGTGATTTAAAGGGATAAATTAAGCCATAAATAAAAAATACTTTTATCCATCCATCCATCCATCCATCATCTAAACCGCTTATCGCGGTGAAAAATACTTTTATGATGATATTAATTAAATTAATGATAATAATTATACAGAACGTCAGCAGTTAGGCTCACTGACACATTGCTGCAGCTTGACGCCAATCCACAGCCTGGTACCGGTCCCTGGGCCAGTGGCCACCCCACTGTTTCTGCTCGCTAAAACATTGTACAACTTTTACGTGGCGATGCCTTAAATGGTTTTCTGGGTAATAAATTGGTCAATTCGACATTGGAAAGTTATTCATGGGCTCAATTGCACATAAAGCAAACATGGATTTAGGTTCACAGGGTCTTTAAAATGTAAACTGTTTAGTTTTGTCCAGTGTTTACAGTCTAATGCAGGGCTCGGAGATGTATCATGTTTCAGTATGATTATTTTCAGTGTGATTATTAGAAGACTTACAATACATCCTAACAGAAACAAGTGGAGCCTTCTAAAGAAAATTGAAGCACCAACCAAACCATCCATCTGGTGACCCATTTTCCCCCAGCAGAAGTAATTTAGTAACTTTCTTCTATCCACTTCAGACCTGTGCTGTGCTATCTTGTTAAACATCAGCACAAACGACAGCAAAGAAAAAGGTATTGTCTCCAGAGGACATGCGTGGGCCCATATACTTACTTTCAGGTGGTTCAGTCTTGCTCCACTTTCTTTTCTTTTGTATCATCCGTTTTATCTTCTCCAGTAGTTCAATGACTTGCATTTCATTACTTCTGACCTTATTGTTAAGAACATGATATCTGTCCTTGCACTGTTCCACCAACCATTTGAGTTCTTCTTTTACTCCCTCTACATGTTCTTCAATAGTCTTCTCCCCCAACCAATCTCCTCTGGAAAACAAGACCATGGTGTGGTCCCAAACATTTAAACCCAAAAGCTCTAAGTGCTCCTGCACAGCAATCTTGTGCCTTTTCACAAATGGGGCACCTAAAGGATAAACCAGTAGAAATGCATGGGGTCCTCTGCCAAGCATCTCAACACTTCTTTTGAGTTCCTGCTTAAGTTCATCAGATGTGTCCTCTGCAGGAACCCAGTTCCAGCTTGGTGTGTCCACCACAGTGACCTGAGTACCTGCAATTTTGTTAGTTTCCATGACACATGCTTCTGTTTGGGCCCTGATGCCAAACACCTCCTTGTTCAGAATGGTGTTTCCAGATGAACTCTTCCCTGCCCACCGTCCTCCCAGCAATACTATCTTCACATGAGGTGTTTCTGTTAAAGAAGAGAAATGGTTGTAGTTAGGAAACATATGCATTGACATACTAATTCTAGTCTACAACATAAATGCTTGGACAACGACACAGTTTTTATTGTTTCGGTTAGAATGCAGTTTAAAAGTTTGGACTATGCTTTCAACATAATGGTTGTAGTATGTGAAAAGACTATATGACTGAACAAGTTCAACCAACAATTGTGTTTTAGCTAGAGCTGCCATGAAATGCATGGTTAGCTTGACACTAGAGGAAATTAGCATTATGGTAGTGGTGTTAATTGAATGAAGAATGTCTTAACTGCTTTAAACATTGTTATATGTGACAAACCCATGTCTGTATCTGGGTTTCAGTGAACTGACTGGAATGTCCCATCCTAAAATCAACAATATGCCTAAGCACAATACAGTGAGGGAGCTACCCAGTAGTTTTTTTTGATACTATGATGTCTTTGCATCAATGTCAAATGCAATTGTGTTACCAGTGTCTCAATGTTCCAGCTACCTGGGACTTTTTTGCCCCTACTAGGTTTTTTACCCTTTGATCTCATCCAAGTACTTTAATGTTGAGCATACATCAATATCAATCCGATCCAATCTTTATGTTTTCATAGGTAGTGCAGTCACTCAATATAAGTGGGATATACAAAGTGAGAATTAATTCAGTAAAAAAAAATTTTGTGGCATTCTGGGCCCATATACATAAAGCTTCTCAGAAGGACTGCTGATCGTGATCAGATTCCTCTCTTATTTACTGTGACTTTATTGACAGGAACAGATCCTGGATCAGCACTTCTATTCTGAGAAGCTTTATGAATAGAGGCCCTGGACTGATATGTTGATGTTGTTTAGGCGCTTAATCAGAAAAAAATCTCACTTTTTTTTAAAATAGTAAGAGTTGATGTAATAAGTAATTGTTAAAATTTCAAAGCATGCCCTTCAGTCTCCAGTGCATGCAGTCTATATTTGGAAATTAAGCTGCAAAAACAGGCTGTTTTGAAAATTTAATCACTGTTTAATTACAAAAAATCTTCACTAGTGTTAATAATGTCAATAATTACATTAGTTGTAGTGAATGTATGCATCCTAATTTACAAAAATAAAGATTCTTGCCTTGGACAAACTTTTTATAGGACTTTATAGAATCTTTTGGATTTTATTAAAAAGTTCTTCACACTTGTACATCTCATTCAGAAAAAGCAGTTAAAGAATTATTCACTGAAAACTTCAGAGTGTTCTCAACTATTTTAACAACATGGACTGAGCCAAAACAGCAGTTTTGACTCTGGATATGAATGGTGTTGGAAATGGAATGATTTTATGTAGCCATCATCTATTTTTATTCTCATCATGAATGTTCTGGGTTTGCAGCACAAATAAAAAAAAAATAATAATGAGATTAGTTTCTTCATTTGTGACTTCTTCATATATGCTGACAGAAAGGTAATACAGAGAATGATGTTGGCCAATATGTTTAACATTACATAAAAACATATTTTAGGAATGTTTTAAGTGCAAGAATTAAGCCTTAAATGATCCTGGTATCAAATTATCCACAGCCAAAGGTGGAAAGTAACAAATACTATTCACTCTGTTTACAGTAAATTGTTCCCTGTGATGGTATTGTTTGAATAAAATTAAATCACTTTTACTTGGGTTTATTTCTAATAAAGCACTTTTATTTCACTACCTTAATTTTTAAAAACTGTTACAGAGTGAAAAAAACTGTGAATTTCAGCTAATAAACTAATTAGAAAGCCTGGTTAAATTGAAAAGATTCCATCGTGAAAACCAATCAAAACAGAGCAGCAGCCAAAAACACTTGATGATTTCAGAGAAGTTTAGTGGAGACAGAAAGAGGATAACCACATGAGGAACATACTTTATCCTATTGGTCATGTTCATTCTGTTTCAAATGAATGAGGAAAACAAACATGCTTCCTGAAACATGCCAAAATCTCCACTTTTCACAGCTCAACCTCCACCATCAGGGAGTGTCCAAACAAGTTCTATGTCTTTTTACTGTTTTCTTCTTACTCTGTTTTTAAAAATTACATTGTGACTATTTAATTTAAAATCGGTTGCGAATGTTTTATCGCAAGTGTCTAGTAGCTTGATACTTTAGTTAACACGTGTTAAACCTAAATAGTGTGGTGAGGGTGGCTGGTGGGAGTGTAAATATACTGATTTCTGTGAAATTCTTTTGTTGTCCATGCTGGACAAAACAGATATTGCCTCACGTGAGACACAAGCCAAAACATCTGTGCGTCATTCAACTTTTTAAAAAGTTAAAAAATGCTTAAAAAGTGCTTAACTGTAATATTCAGATCATCATTCGACTTGATTGTAGAGAAAAAAATAAAGTTTCTGTATCTGGAGTGGAACGTACTTAAAAATGTATTAGCAAAGATACATTTGCCCCTTAATCTCATCTTGCAGATGATACTATGTTATCAGAGACTTTCTGTTCTGTCAGTTCATTACAGTACACAGTCTCTGCTCTCTCTCAGTCTACACAGAAACATGTAAATGTGCACTAGCAGAGCATGCTGTGATTAGTCTCAAGACTCACAAACTTTTTCCCCATACCAGTCCAGAGCCCTATGGTTGGGACTCTCTTAGGATTTAGGGAACTGAAAAGGTTCTTCTATGGTGTCATTAATTTTATAACTGTAAGAAAAGAAACATAATAGAGAACACTGACCTCCTATTCACTATTTAACCTCACAGATGTGCAAACTTGAAAATATCAATATTGTATTGGTCCCTCAATGGCTTTGTGACTGTGAGTTGTCCAGGCCCCAAGACAGGGAAGCAGTCCTGTATCATTATGCTACCTCCACCAGGCTTCACATTGAGTTTTTGGTGTTGGTATGATAAGTTAAACCTTTTTTCTCATCTTCCCACAGAGCATTGTTGCACTAGTGCTGGGGAACATCTTAGAGGGTCAACCAAGCACTTTTTAAACAAGCAGCAAGGATTTGGCATGCAGTGATATAGTAGACTATAGTAGACAAATATAAGAAATAGCTTAGCTATAAGATGTATATTAGGTTCTTTGCCACTTGTTGATCTCTATGGTGGGTCCTTGCAATAAACTGTATAGAATGTATACTCTTAGCAGAGTATGGAATTTCTTCCATTTAAAAATGTCTGCTTGGCCTCACACTAATGGAGCCCCAAGAAATTGTTTTGTAACCTTATTGTGAGCTTCTGCCTTTCTTCTGAGGCCCTCTGAAATATCCTCTGTGGACAAAATGCCCTTGAACAGAATTTTGTTGGGAAGATCAGGCACCTCAAATTGAGTATATGGCATGGTTGGTCAAGCACACATCTGAATTAATTAGAACACTTGCCTCCAATTATCCTTTCTTCAAGAGGTCAGTATCCCAGAGGTTCACATGGTTTTTAAACTCAGTGAGCTTGATTATTTACACCCTTTTGTTCAATAAAGATACAGCAAATGTGAGTGGGTGTGTTGTTTTTAAAACAAGGCTCTATTTATTTGTTTTAATGTAAAGAAGAACAGCTGTTTGTATAGAAGTCTTTCATGCAATAATCCAGATTATAAATTGTGGTTCTGTCACAGTTTTGGAGATATACATTTGTATAAAGCTGTGATAGGGGACATCTAGTCAAATACAGGTAAACTTATAAACTCTGGACAATAATTCTGTCATTTTCCAATAAACTAAATATTTGTTCTTAATTAAGTAATTTCCTCTATTAATCCTTTTACTCATTTACTAAATTATTACTACAGTAACTACTATTTCTTGAGCAATGGTTTTCAGTTTCCTTTTTACCCCTGGATACAAGATAATTCACCTCCATAAGGAAGGAGAAAGTCATAAGAAAATAAATGAAAAAAAGATAAAGTTTTAAAAAAACTAGTGTTCAAAAAATGATTAAAAGAAAAGTCAAAATGAGACCAACAACCATGCAACACCAAGTAGACCACCAAAACTGTCACCATCCGATACATAGTACTTAAAGCTTTCATCGTTGAGAGAGAGGAGAAAATTAAGCTTCACTCTTGCGTCAGATCTGAAAAATCCACAGGTGTTTATTCCACTGTAAGAAGATAACTCAACACTATGGGTCTGAAAGAATGTGTAGCTGTTGAGAAGCTGTTACTGAGAAAAACAACAAAAAAGAAGCAAGTTTGCACTAGAACACCAAACTGCAGATCTGAGATTTAAAGTAAGGTTTTATGGCAGGGGTGCTTTGAAAAACTAAAAGTAAGAAAAATTTATATTGTATTGAGTCGTTGAGGCTTCTTTTAGAACAGTGGAGGTATGCCAGTCAGTTGCAAGTGCGAAGTGGCTTTATTTGGGGCAGTCCAACATTCAAAGCCCATACAGGTAGGGGTCAAACACAGGCAGGCAATATAAGAGGCAGACCCATAGTCAAAAACCAGAAAGACCCAGCAAGAGTCAAAACAAAGTTAAAACAACACAAAGTAACATGGCTAAGAACTCAAAGACACAAACACAAAGACTTTGCAAAAACTAAACCAAACAAAAGGTTGAAAAGGAATAATGAGTCCTGGAATCACATGATGGTGTGAGTGAGCAGAGCCAGGGACAGCCCAACTGTAGTCTCCCCAGAGGGGGAGACTGAGACAATATGACATCTGTATAAACAGTTAAATATGTTTTCTGCTTTTCTCCTGACATTCAATGAAAAATGAATTACTCCACATACTTCCCTGCATGTGCCTGAAAAGCTCAACCTTGAGCTGTTTTTCCTCCCCACTAAAGAATGCAATTGAACCTGAAACCTGTTTTGATTTATTTACAACACAAACCAAGAATTTGATCTTTTATTTAACTATTCCTTTAACTGCTCATTCCATCTTAATGATAGAGAACTGAAAAGTGAGAAGTGTAAGATACTACTAAAAATACTCACCTGTAGCGGCTGCCATGTCCTCTCCAAATTTGAAGTTCTTCACTAAAAAGATTCTCCCAGAAGATCACTAGATGAGGCTTCTACATCTAAAACAAACATTTTCTGTTTAATTTACACTGATAATATTTTACCATGTGCATTATGTCCACACTTAATCTTGGACAGAAGCTTGAACCCTTAAAGTTGCATACACAGTATCTAGCACTGGGTGAGGAATCAAAAAAGGGAAGTGAAAATAAGAAGTTTATCCAATCAGGAATCAAGATCTTAGCATGCCGTGCTGAGTCAACTTTACAGCATGTGAAGCAAAAGGAACTTCTGTGCTTGAGAAACTATAATCATATAAAGTAGGAAGGGCTTCTGCCAAAATATCCAAAAGCCATTTTGAACTAGTTCTCTGAATGAGGCCTTGCATTTCTTTTATTGGACGATGGACGATAGAAGCAGTTGGCCTTGGACAGTGTCTATTGTCTAATTACAATTTTGATGCTGGTAAAGTGCATCAGTAAAGTGTCTCTAATCATGTTTATCACCTTTCTAATTAAGGTTATTGGCTCTTTAGTCATGTAACGAATTTGCTTGGTGAACTGATACCGTTTAACATTGAATTACTGGAGGGTCTAGTTGGTGGTGAGCCATAACAAGCGCACCATGAATCTCCCTAAAGACAAACTTTCTCCAAATAATAATGATCTTTGACCCATTAAATGGCCAGGGCCCACTGGTTTTATTACACACTTCTATAATCTAAGAATAGCTCAACCATTTTGCATTGTAGTTACTGAATAATAAGCCTTAGCATGTAATAAGTCTGGGATTTTAAAGGGAAGAATCATGTTTTTGGTGTACAGTATACGTCTACACATCTTGCAAAATCACCATTCATATCTGCTATTTTTATAACAGGCAAATGTTCATCAATCCTGAAGTGCGTTACAAAAGAGGTAGTGGGTGGCGTGCTAGCGAAAAAGACAGTTAAGTCCGTTTCACAATCTAACAATTTCTGCAGTGTTACTCAAGGACAAACGTGCCGAGGCCTTTATGTAAAACATACAGTACGAACCATATGTTTGCAGAATAAACAGAGTAAGTTCCTAGAGGCCATCTAACCAAAATCATATAACTAAGAATGTTTTTCCTTTCTTAACAAAGAATGCAGTGTTTACGTATCAGGTTATAGGTTGCTTTATAAATAACTCATTTAAGCAGACAGGATAGTAACACTGCAGAATTTTGAAGTGGCTAGAATAAATTGATGAATGTGGCCTGGTGACATATGAAAATGTATAAGAGATCCATAAGTATAAATATATTATTCAACATGTTTTACATAATTCCAGGTTCTGTAGTGGTCAAACTAAAGGGCTACTCTAAGCTTTGTAATGCAAATATTCCTCAGTTTGATGCCCTTGGGTGTGCAATTACACTTTGGATACTGTGATGGTAATAGCTTTCCACCACAAATCCTCAGATATCCTGTTAGATAGCTCAGCCTCCAGTCTTACACAATGCATAGAAAAAAATATTAAATTAGGGAAATAAACATGATTACAAACACATCATATATTGATCCAAATTAATACATATAAAAAGAAACGTTCTGGGAAGTACTTGCCTTGCCCCTTCCCTTCCCCCCACCACATGTATAGCCATGTAGTGTGCAATATAATACACAGTTACAGTATAAATCTTTTCCTTGCTAGTTACATTAGCCTTATGGCTCCAGTGCTAAAACTAAAAAGCAAACTTTGAACACCAACACAACTACACTGATTGATTAACTACATTTGAAGTGAGGAGAAATGTGTGTTAATAAGATTTTTTGTATAATTATCTCTTTAATATCACTTTTAACTAAATATTTTGCATAGAGATTAAGTGGCTAATGTGTTATGTGCAAAGTGTAAAAGAGATGTTAAAATTTGAAGCGTATCATTGTATTTCACTCAGTACAATCTGCAATCTTCAGTCCACAAAAACAATAATTCCTGTAAAAGCTTTGAAGGTCAGTGCATTCTAATTAAATTCAAAAGACAAGAGCCTTTCTTTCCTAAAACAGTATCATAGCTTCAGAGGATGTTTGACTTTTTTTGCAGAAGGTCAAGCACTGCTCCCTTCTCCTCGTATTATAAAGAGTCTTTCTAGTTAGAGAAATTGCTCTAGTTTCCCCTCGCTAATATCAGCGGTCACTGTAAGAACATAACCGTCTACTCTCTGTGAATACTGATACTCCTCTGTGAGCTTAAAAGGAGAAGGAACCTATTGTTTGAGTAAAAAGGGACCTTTTCTGGGTCCTGCATTGTCCACACACAGACAAAACCACACAAGATATACACACAAATTTCATTTACTTTAGTCCATTAACCATAGCTTGCCTAATGTATTGATGGACAATACGTTTAGAGATTTTGGCTTTGTCCCCAGAGAAGTTGGCATGTGTTCATATCTGCGTTGGGCACATTAAAATAGATCAGGATGTGGAATTAGAGCTTTCTGTGTGCTACTGTGTTGCTATTACTGTATGAAAGAAGAATTTTACATTTTACATGACCATTTTTCAACCTCTAAATCTCTCAGAATTAAACAGGATGTTCTTGTTTTTGCCTTTGAGACTGATGTGTGTAAATAACTCTGTTCTGATTGGCTGCCCTGTGCACTGTTCAAAGAGCAGTCTGGGCTGAAACACTCCTTATAACTTCAGCATGAATGGGCGGGGCTAATCTGGAAAGAAACACCAAAGGTTTAGAATTTAAAACAAAGAAAAGTTAGGACATGTATAATAAAGAAGATATATTCTGGATTTTGCATTATTTCTAGATCTATATTCAAGCCTATTTGTGACATTGATCATGTTAAGGTCTTTGTGCAAAAATATATATTTTTGGAGTCTCATCTCTTCGATTATAGCTCATGTTGAAATGACTCAGTTGGATTTGATCTGCTCATCGGAGGCTTTTGCACAAACTTGTGGAATCAAGCTCAAGTGTCATTAAAGCACAAGGCCAAACGCCAAAGAAAATCTGAAAATATGTACCTTTTGTAAATTTTTCAAGTAACTCAAATTGTTATGCTGCCGATTTCATTGTCATGGAAAATATTGTATGAAATTAGAAGAGAATGCAAAACAAAAGCATTTTTACTTGTTTCAGACCACACTGTATATCCGACTAGTCATCCTACAGCAGTTTAGCTCCACTCATTCATGCTGAAGTTATAAGGAGCAATTCAGCCTGGACTGCTTTTTGAAAAAGGCCCAATACAGGGCAGCCAATAAGGACAGAGTCATATGTCAGCCTGTATGCAAATGCATGTTTTTTGTGACATCAGCAAAAACAGAGAGGTAGCTTATGTGAGCTCATGGATCAGGCTGCCTCTGACTCACAGTTATTACATTGGAAACCCATTTGAGTGCATGAAAACGTATGGAATACACTCCAGTGTTGTACAGTAAACAGGATGCTTAACAGAACTGAATAATTGAAATAAAAATATGCTCAGCATGCAGTGGCAGTTTTGACTGTGTATATGAAGAAAACACATTAATATTAGAATAAATACAAATAACCTGGTTCTCACGGCAGGCCAGGATTGGTTTGGCTAATCAGTGCATCATTATGTTGAATCATGTGTGCTGGTAATGGAATTTAACAAATCTTCGTGATGGCTGGAGCATCCAGGAGAAATCTGGAACCAAACTTTGTTCTACTGTTTTTCAACTAAGAAATTATTGTTACCTTTTACTGTATTTATTATATATTCTAACGATATATCTGTGTGCTGGACATGCACATATGTATAAAATACACACTTTGGACTACACCACAGTCCCCTTTAAAGGGAACAGTAGGTTAAAAAGCAAAAAATTGTCTTTTTGCCTCAGCATTAAAGGGTTAAAAGTCACTTGTGAAGAGATATATGCACTAGTGAGTGAGCACCACAGGCCCAGCGGCAGTTTTATGTTCAGTTGTGAAAAAAGAAAGGGTGGCATCCAGTGTTAGAGAATGAATGTCTTTTGTTCAGCATACACACACACACACACACACACAGCTGCTGTTCCAAAAACACCTGGCCAGCAGGTGCAAACTCACAAATGGAAGTGAGGAGTTGTTCTATAACCGCACACTCACAAACATTCACACTCATTAATGTACATTTTGTGTATGCCAAAACTGCACACACTTGCCAAAAGACATACACTGTCTCAACCTGTGCTCCAAAACAGCCGTCTCTCAGGAGACACACATCCAAGTACCCTAGAAGTTTATTTCCTGCACTTCATTCTATTTTCCACACCAATAAATCAATTCCTGCTCACACATCCTGAAGGAGTGTGTGTGTGTGTGTGCATGTGTGTGTGTGTGTGTGTGTGTGTGTGTGTGTGTGTGTGTGTGTGTGTGAAAGGGTTTCAATGACAACCTTGTAGTTCATAAAGAGCAATTAGCTTCATCTGACTTGGTTAATTAAGGAAGAAGATTGATGGAGACGAGAGACAAAAGTACAATATTAACACGCAGAGGAGCTGATAAAGACCTTGACTGCATCAATGTTATCTTACTCTTAAAAAACCTCATTATTTAAAGCCAAAGCTCTGAGAACCTGAAAATAAAATAATAAATAGTAATATACATCTTACAAGAAATGGTTCTTAATGGTTTTTGGCTTGGACATACAGCTCTATGTAATTTTTCATATGTGGAGGTTCTTTGAACGAAAAACCAAAAATGTCTGCATAATTCAATCATTGCACTGTAAACTAAATAATTCAGAGTGGTTTGATGTGAAGTGGTGCATTGTGGAAAAACCAGGGGAACCAAATACACATGAACCAAATACAGCAATTGGCCCCTTTATTAAGTACATTTTCCTTGCATATACACTCTGTTTATTTTATGAGCTCCACATATAGGTGCACTTTGTAGATTTACAAATACAGGGTGTAGTCCATCTGCTTCTCTGCATACATTGTTAGCCCCCTTTTACCCTGGTCTTCAATGGTCAGGACCCCACAGGACCACCACAGAGCAGGTATTATTTGGGTGGTGGATCATTCTCAGCATTGAAGTGACACTGATGTGGTGGTGGCGTGTTGGTGTGTGTTGCGCTGGTACGAATGGATCAGACACAGCATGCCACGAACATGTCAGTGTCACTGCAGTTCTGACTACAGTCTGTAACTGTAGA